CATCTCTACACGTCCGTGGGTTCAGCCAAGCCCCCTTCATGTTCACTGCTCCTAGTAAACCAAGGGAGGAGCAGGGATATTCAGCCCAAATCTCCTATTTAACCTATTGCCCATTTAACCCAAATTTCCCATTTTAGGCACAGCCCACCTCATTTTCACAGCAACTGAACTTCATTCTCAGAGCCCAGTGAGCCAGCACAGGGCATGCAGTGCCCAGAGTCCTGGTACCTGGGCAGGGAGCAGGAATGGTTTTCCCAGATCCCACAGTGAACCATCAGGGAGTGAACTGCAGCCTAAGGAGCAGCGCAGACATTACTCAGCAAATCATTACAACTAATTCCTCTGAAAAAAATGCAACCTGTGATCATGTGTGAATAGGAAGGGGGGGGGGGCATCTCCATTAATCACTCATTATGAATTATTCAGCAAAAGAGGAAGCAGAAGGCAAACACAGAAACGACTTGTGTAGAAAGAAGGTAGGTTATGATCAGCATTCAGCTCCACAGCCACCCCCAGGCCGTGGTCCCAGCAGCACAGCCGAGGCAGGGCTCTCCCCAGTTGGCACGAGGGCAGCCCGCATCCTGTCCTGCCTCCTGAGCAAACTGTGGGCAGCCTGTGGGCAACAGTCTGCAGGCAACCCGGCCATGGCAGTTCCTCTCTGGACAGGCAGCTGATGGGGAGACAGAGCTGGCATTGCTATGCTTATCCATCCCTGCTGGGAGCTGAGCCAGGGCATCTCCCACCCCACAGACACCTGGAAGCTGGTGAGTTCAAGCGGGTGAAGTAGGAAAGCAAACTCTTGAGTCCAAACATCTGCAAGGAAAGGTTATTCTTGCTCTCCAGCCAGGACCAGTCCCAGCAGCACCACAGCCACCTAGGCAGTGAGCGGCAGAGCCCGGCACTGCGGCCAGGAGCTGGCCTGGGCTCCGGCACACGGACGATAACTAACGGGAACTGCAGGGTCGGCAGAAGAGGAAGGGTCGGTTGCAGGTGAGGGGGAGTCAGCTCCCCATCACTTGTTGCCGACACTCTCCTAATTGAGAGAAGAGCTACCAGGAGGGGTAATTAGAGCCTGGAGAAGGTCATGTGTGACTCACTGTGTCTCAGCAGCCCTCTGCTTCCAGCCACAGCTGTCTCTGTGCAGCAGCTCATACTGCACACTGGGAACAAGCAATCCCCCCCCATTTTGAAACAGCCCCGCCAAACCTTTCAATGAAGCTGCTGGCAGATCTCCTGCCCTCCAGGACGTGGCCAGCCCAGGTGCTGCAGGGAGAGCCCACGGATGGGAGATGGGACCCTCCAGCCCAGGCCCCTGAGCACCCAGCCACCTGCTTGGGGTCATCTGAATGAATAATCTGGTGTGCATGCATGCATCTGAAAATGAATGGACAAACACATACACTTTCAGGGCTTATATGGCCAATTTAGCAAACTATTGAGAAGTCTGTGTTACCAGAGCTAGCAAAGAAGCTGCCATAAGGTTTTCCTAAATGCTTTCTAATGTAGTAAGACCTACTTAATTTCTCTGCTAGCTCTGATTATTATTGTTATTATCAACTTTTACTAAAGAAGGTTGCAATTTTAGATTATATTTTAGTAATCACAAGAGAAATTTCCCCTAATGTTAATCTAATCTAAGAGAGTGCTATGATGAATACCGTTACAGGCAGCAGTAGTCTGCTAAATTACAGAGCCATGTAGCAGTATGTTTATTGTGCATTTATGACCATTTCCCCACCTTCCACCCAATTACCTGTTTCTGCTGGGACTGCTCCTAAAGAGCCAATCTTCTCAGCAGCCACGGAGTAAAATGGGCTGGAGCCTGCAGGAAAGCAGTTTTCTGCCCAGATGAGAGATTCAGGGACCAGAGAGGTTTGCCCAGGGACAGCAGAAGGACACTGGTCCTCGAAACTTCCCACTGACACTGAGGGCAGCTTTGTGCCCTGGACAGCAGCATGCAGGGACACTGGCTTCTCCCTGCACAACACAGAGCGGTCGGGTACCCCAGAGGTGCACTCGGACCACAGGGTCATTGACACTGGAGGGGACCCCAGGGGGTCTCTAGTCTGACCCCCTGCTCCAAGCAGGATCAGCCGTGGGCTCAGACCAGTTTGCTCATGGCTGGGTCCTGCTGGGTCTGGAAAATCTCCAAGGACAGAGACAGCACAGCCTCTCTGGGAAGCCCATGCCAGTGCTGGATGGTCCTCCCAGTGACACCTGGGCACTGTAACACCCACATGGCACACAGCACCACAGCAGGCACGAGGGCACTGACAGCACATGTGTACCAGCGCACACCCACCCTCAGTGCCTGGGCACAACACAGGCACCAGGGAACACATGTGGCACAGCTCCACACCTGCATGTGGGCACACCGACCCACAGGACATGGGCACCCCAGTGCAGACGCCCCCCTGCATGTGGACACATCCTTGCACACGGGTACACGCATATGTGCAAGGACATACAGACATGGGCACACACACACACACAGGGATGCTGCCCCACAAAGGGACATGCACCCACAGCACACCCCACACACACGCAGAGACACACCTTGCACATGCATGGGGACACACACACACACCCCGCACACCAGCATGGACACAGGCACCTCCGATGTGTGCACACCCCCACCCTGCACAAGCTCATCCCCACGGACACCGACACACACCCAGCTTCCCCCGCCCCACACCCCTGCACAGCACCGACACCC